TGACACGCATTCTTCCCACGAAATTTCCTCCATAACCTTTTGTGGCACCCTTTAGCACATCCATTCAAACTAATTGACTTGATAAACAAAGCTTAATAGTTTTAATTCAACGCGATGCAAAGAATAGTGGAAGCGGAGTGCTAGTGACGAAAGAATAAAGGTAGGCAGTTGACCTTGAGTCAGGCTGGTGACCACTTTTTTGACTACCATGGGCACAGTTAAGTAGATATAGCGGAATTCGTTCGCAATCTTGCAAATTGCACTCGAATGTGAGTGTTGAAGGGTCGCAATGGGGCCTTTTCCTGTTTGATATTGGTTTGATTGAGCAGGTCTCATTGACGTTGCCCCGAATGTCTGTTGACCTTGAGTTAGGCTTGTGAATCATTACCGACCTCCGTTGACACAATTGAGTAGATTTAACTGAACTTTTTCATGCTGATAAATTACACTTGCATTTGAGGTTTGAAGCATCGTTTTGCGGCCCTATTCGGGTCACTTTTAGCTTGACTGAGCAAATCATATTGATGTCCTTGCGAATGACCATTGACCTTGAGTAAGGCTAGTGAGTATTTTCCTGACGACCATGGGCACAGCTGAGTAGATTTAACGGAACTTGTTTGCATGCTGGGAAATTCCACTAGAATAAGAGATTTGAAGTATCGTATTGTAGCCTAATATTAAATTGCATAAAATTAACCTTGAGTGCCACTCACAATATAAATGGGATATTAGGGCAGTAAAAGCACGTGCCTTAAGCGATATTCGGAGGGTTGTTTTTCACTCCTAAATATTGACTAATAAACATTAGAGAATTGCAGGAGTGTTAGTATTTGAATGTGGTTTCAGTGGACTTTTCACAAACACTAGTAGCGTCATTAGAAATTCGTTTTTTTTTACCTTTTGTGCTTGATACATGATATACGAAGGGAGAAGTATGGATGTTGGTCTATTTGGAGTCCCAACCACCTTTGCTACTGTTGTTGCAGCAGAATTTGCAATGGCAATGAATATCATTGCGGATGATCTTACTGAGTTTCCCTCACCTTACAGTGATTTCCATCATTGCATTGCTTTTTTATCCATCCGAATATGTTTCCTGTCATTTACACATCCACACCGCAGTGGTATTTTTATTTGCGCTAAATTCCTACACTCTCAAATAGTTTGGTTCAGTCAAGCCACGGATTTGCTTAATCAGGCAATTCGTTTGGATTGTAAACGCCCATCTTGGTCAGCAGTGGTGCAGGCCC